TTGATATGATCTAAGTTGCTCAAGTTCAATCTCAAGACTCAAAATTCTACACTCACTTAATTTGTCTTGTGGTTCGTAATCACAATCAAGAGTTAGTTGCTTAAATATGACCTAAATTGTTCAATATTAACAACGGAATATCTTTACACATTTATTTTAAATTGTTAACAATGATTATGACTAAACATTTCGACCTTGTTCAAATCCCAGAATTGACAATTTACGCTCCTCGCCCTTATTTGATTCTCATTCTTCTAAAAATTCATTTTTTTCAAAACTCATTTTCATTCACACAATTTTCAATAAAATAATATTACAAGTAAATTCAAAACTTTTCTTTAATTTTTAACAATACATTCTTCATTAATCTACTATTCAAAATGCATTGTTTTCCCCAAAATGGGGATCAAACGAGGGCCTAATTTGGCTGCTTAATTACAACAGATTAGCATCGTACACCAGTTAATCCTTAAATTGACCTGGCTTCTTTCTGGCATCCACCAAATGGTAGGAAGTTGAGGATTGAAATTTTTCTTTTTTCAAAATAATAAATGTTGGCAAATATAAGAAAATAAAAGGACTTGTACACGAATTTTTGTGGAAATATGTCATGCTTAATACATAACCACAGAAAACTGTTGAGCAAAATGAGGTTGAGAAACAACATATACAAGATAAAGTGATAAACGGTTTCCAACCACACCATCATCCATATGAATCCAAGCCGCACAATTAATATTTCAATCTTTCTTTCATCAAATTTTGTTTGTATCTTTAAAAAATACAGCCATTTCTTCGCAGCAACTTTCAAGTGATGATTCTCATATTCTGAGGCTTACCTCCAAGAATTTCTACAAATTTAATTTAAAAAAGTAAAACAAGATATCAAGATTAAATTATTGAACAATATAAAATATCTCAAGAATTATGAATGACAGAAACCTATTTTCTAACAAATTTTCGTTATCTCCTAGGAAAACTAACAATAAATCCAAAGTAACCACAAAAATAATTCACAAAGCCGAATTGTTTCGATAACCTAATTTATTGTTTCTGATATCATCATGCGTGTAGTTAATAGGGCTCGTATCATTTTCTATCTCCACTTGAAATATAGTCGACTTCGTTTATCAACATTAATCCTTCTTGCAGCAATAATTTTGTCTCTATTTACCAACAAAAAATAAAACTATACGTAGGCAAATTTACAGCTTCTATATAAAAAAGCCTTTAGACGTAAAAAATAAACAAGTTATAGATTCAAAAACCCATCATTTGACTACAAAAATTCAGAGAAAAGTATCCATTTCTGAAATATGCGAAGTTTTCTCTAGCTCGCACATTAGAGAGCACTAGTTAAGTCATTACATGAGAAACTTCCACAGCTTCATCAATGAGCGGCTCCAATCCAGCAGTAACTAAGGGCGAGGTTTGATCAGATCCTGGAGTTTCGACTGCCCAATCATCAAGCCAGAATAAAGCACGAGAACCTTGAAAATACAAGAGGGTACATTACCTGCCCAAATAAGAATGGGGCAAATACAAAATAAAATCTAGTTTCCATTTACCTTTCAATCTGGTAGGCTTCATATAATCTTCCTGCACGACAAGGGCAACAAATTAGCTCTAATCATTTCAAAACAATCCCTTCCTCTAAGCAGGGAGACCGAATAGTACAATGTCAAGATGAACAAAATTGAGTTCTGTTAAAGACACAAACATCATTTACGCTTACTAGCAAAAAATAAGCAGTAAGGCCGATTGAATTGATAAGATTAGGTATTCGATAAGCAAAATTGTATCATGTACACTTTTTACGAATGCAGCATCGGTACAAAATGTCTTCTTGCAAGGCATAAGCATTCTTTTTGACGATTCACTATATGCTTATAAAGACTTAGCAATGGTAATAAAAATGTAAAAAGAATTGTTTTGTAGAACATTTCCACATATAGCACTCAGCAGGTCACCTCCGGGCATTAAGGGGCCTTCAAAATTTCTCTTCGTAGACCCGTTAAATTGAATGCAGTCTGGATCCAAGTGGCATCATGTCAACTAAACTCCGGAAAAGGATTTCACAAAAATTTTCACATGCGAAAAAGTTCGGAGAACACTGATTAAGTACGAACTGGCTTCCTTCTAGAATCAGCTAGTCGTGAGCATCACAAACACTCCAAATAATTACTTGACACCAGATGAGAAACCTTGTCTTGGAGTAAAGCCAGCCTGTTGCATCCTGTAAGACCTTCCATTACCAGCGTGTTTACTATCCGACGGTGGTGGTCCAAGAATCCCAGACGAGTTTTGGTCAGGTATTCTTGTGCCATTACTTGAAGGTCTTTGATGCGGATACTGAACAAGAGAGGCATCGACTTCAGCCCCTGCTCCGGCTCGTTTCCTTCGTTTCCAAGCTTCAAATTTATCCACATCAATATCCCTGTGCATAAATGCAGCTGTTTGATGCCCAGGAGCAGAACTATTGATGCCGGAAGGTCCCACACCTGTTGCCACCTGTTGCTCCTGTTTAAGTTTGGAATAAATTTGTTGAAGTCTCCCACCAGATAAATTTGAAAAGGTTGATACATAATTCCATAATCGTGTAGTCATCCCTGCGACAGAATTACTTCATTAAACACTTTTGCCTTAAAGCTAATATACGAACACACTAATAAAAGATAACAGATTTGTGATCTTCATACTCTCTTCCACACATGGGGTACAGCCATCCACAGAGAGAGAGAGAGAGAGAGAGAGAGAGAGAGAGAGAGAGAGAGACGAGGGGCGAGGGGGTCAAGAAAAGATTGAAAATACATACTTTCTTGCCTATAGGGTCCATGTTCATATTCTGAAACAAT